GCAGCTCCCCTCCTTGGTGGGGGGTGTTGTGATCCTCTCCCCAAGGGCTGCTCAGAGAGGCAGTGTGCCTGGAGCTTCCCAGGCAACATGACAGATCAGAGGGAACATTTGGCTCAATACAGCTCGATATGACCAGCCCATGTAGTCCAGGCAGCCCAGAGCAAGGGATGTTTAGGTATTCTCCTATTTCTCATGGTAAGAACACTGTTTGTCATGATGAGCCCCTAGAAGCCCAGAGCAACATCAGCAGCAACATGCATATGAGTAGAGCATGCCACTGAATAAACCTCAACCAGCAGTCATCACAGGGCTGTGAGTTTGGGCTGGAGCTGTGGATGGATGTGATACAGAGAGCACTACATGAAGAAACCAGCTCACAAGGATTTTAAAAAAATAAACCTTCCCTCTCTCTCCCTTCTTTTCCCATCATCAAGGAGAATGCAGTACTGCTGACTTCAGACTGCTATGAAACTCCCAAGGGCGCTGCCAAAATGCCACCGCAATGTCTCATGGCACAACATTTCAGCCAAATACCAGCCTAAAGGGGGTGGAGAAACCAACTGGCCCTTTATATATTGCAACAGCAGTGATGTCACACACTCCAACCAAGTTTGCTGTTTTGCCCAGCTCCTGTCTAGTGAAAAAAGTTGACATTCAGTCTGTGCCAGGCCAGGAATAGTCTCTGTAATTTAACCTCCTCATCACAACTTGCTAGGCACTTAAGAGAGCCACTGAAAAAAGCCTCCTATTTAAAAGAGAGGAAAGGTTGGTTTCTGATTAACCTTGTTGAAATCTGTACATTCATGCAAGCTTTTTTGGTAGTTCATATCAGGTGATGCCTACTGCAAACACCTCACTTGTTTCTTAGCATTTCCCAAACAGTTCCAAATGGCTGGTGTTGCTTTCCTCTGTCTTGAAAACAGCCCAAATTCAGGCATCCTTAAATATTTTAACTAGCTGAATCCTGACATAAGCTCAAACACTGCACCTTGCTTGCTGGCTGCCATGTTTGTCAAAAAAAAGTAAAGAAATGGGACTTGACCAGGTTATTAAACCAGCTATGAACAGCTTCTTTGCCAAGTTCAGAAGTTGCCATCATACCTATACAAGGGATAGAGAGATCAGTACAGTGCTGCTGTTTCAGTCCTGTCTTGGCAGTGATCTGCACCTCAAATGCTTGGTGTAGATACAGCTTTTCCAGCTTGAAACATTACACTGCCTAAGTACCAGTATTATGGCCAGGAGAGACAAGGATCTTCACAAAGGTTTCAGAGACAGTGGCAGTTGCTATTCTTTTTTAATCAGTGGTGCTGAGGTTTTTTGGTAACAGTGACTCCATCTAGGAAAATAATTGCTGAGATTACATCATGATATCCATGTTTATTGTTACCTTACTCACTTTTCATCAAATGTTGTCAGTTTACAAGATGTTTCTTCAGACCTCTGCCCATGAGATCTGAAAGCCAAGCTTCCTCCTAGTTCAGGCACCACCACTGATAAATAGTGATAAACATTGTGCTACTGGAATTTAGTCAACAGCCCTGTTCATGAGCAAGCCAGAACATAATAACAATCTCCCATGGCTGTATCGGCTTTGCACAGTTAAGAGTATCACAGAAGCAGTAAAATAATTGTAATTTAACCTCTGAGCAAAGAGATAACTGAGTACACATCTCTGCAATGAGGATGCCCTTTAAATCTGGCGGCAACCAGACATATCGTTGTGGTTTTTTTCTTTGATTTTTACTTTTATTTACTCAGACATCTTAAACCACAAAAAGCTCCGACTGGTACAGGCTTGTCCCTAAACTAAGACTGACAACTGTCCTTTCTTAGGTAAGGTGTAGGAGACCATCCCAGTGGGTGAGCCCTTGTTGCCGCTTTTGGCAGTGCGTTTTGAATACCATGGGCTGACACAAAAGCTCTCTTAGAGGAGACCCTTACTTCAGGAAAATCTACTGTATCTACAGCTATGTACTATTTGCATTACCTCAGGGCCAGGCAGTTCTCCTTGTAGGAAATGGATATATTCTAGCAAAGATTAAACAAACTAGTCTGAACCTTGGGGGTCTCCACAGCATAAGAATGGCAGCAACGCACATTCACCATAGCTGAGCTTTCCTTTAGCACCTCCTGACTCTGGTTCGTGCATGGAAGCAAAAAGATGTTTTGTTTAGTGCTCCTCACCATCCCAGCTGTCGACCTTTCCTCTCCTTTACAACAGGGACAGTGAAAAGGATGGACTTTCAAACCTCAGCTGCATTAGTTCCCAGTCCACCAGAATGACATCTGTCTATACTTGTTGACAGCAAGAAGTCATATACGGGTGGAGTGAAGGCACACATTTTCCTCCACAGTCCCTCTGAAAGGGTGGCACGGCAGGGACATAGACAGCAGCAGGGAAGAAGTCATCTGGCATAACCCCTCTTTTTAGCCTGGAGACGTCACCCAGCCTTTGCAATGGGCAGCCTGCCAGGACACCATTGCTCACTCAGCTGTTAGTCCCTGCTGGGGCTACCAGGGAGTGCTGGAGGTTGTAATAGTTGTTTGCTAGGAACCTGACTGCACTCCGCAAGCTACCAAGCCCTTAGGGTATCTGCTTATTATCACTCTGGGATGGATACCTGCCTCTTCCAGTAAGAAGTCCTGTAAACTACTCCTAAAATCATTGTAAAACGTGAATGAACAGATACATGAATTAATACAGCACAAGATAATCTTCAGATTGTGCAAATAACTGTCTTTGTTTTCGAATTTCAGAGTTCACTTAAAATCAAAAAATGCTGAAGGTCGGAAATATCCCGGGACACTACTTCTGTCGAATCTACATCATTAGACTGTTTCTACCTCCTCACTAAAGATGGCCAGAAATGAAGCCAAATACAAACATGAGAGGGAGTTCTAAAGATGAGAAGCCAAATTACATGGCTGGTATGTACCTGTACTTCCCACTCATGTAACAGTTAAGAATCAAAACCAACAGCAGGATGGCCTTTCATTTGTTTTCTCTTTTTCTCTAGCTGCATTATACACAAAAATGTATGTGCAGTGGGGGGAGTGAAACTCACTTTTGAAAAATCTTTGTACAAAGTAAAATGGAGAAGCTCTATTAAGCTCACTTTATTTCTGGTGTAAGCCTATTGTAGCTCTGCATAAGTCATTGGAATTGTATGGCTGGAAGGACAGAATCAAGATTCACTATGGTACTTTGAGTCTAAAAATAGGTTGGCTGAGGTTTTGGGGTTTTTAAAATAGAAAAGGTGAGGAGTGTTTTCATTTGAAGAAACAACTGAGCCTGAGTAACTCAGGTGATTAAGCCCAGTTTCTCTGACTTTTCATACTTTGACCAGCACTGAGTTATCATAGGGAAAAAAGTGCCCTTTCCAAGAGTCTCACTGAAATGGGCCAAAGTGGAATCATGGATTTGGACAGCTGGTGGGGCTGAAATCTGGATCTGGATTTCATTGCTCAGTTCTACAGTGGATCCAAGCTTGAGATGGAGATAGCTTCCACCTATGTAGAAGCTGGAAGGTGCTGTAGATGTGAACTGTGGTGTTTCAGCTCATCACAAGTTAATGGTGCAATTGTACTAGAAAATGGAGATACAAATCAGACTTTCCTTGAGGAGTCCAAAAGGACTTTCCTTTTAGCTAGCTCTTGAATATGCTTTTAAACTGAGTCTTGCTGTAGTTTAGCAAATACCCTGCTCAAGCCCTTGAATGTGAGAATAAGTATCATCTAAAGAGTTTACAGAATAAATTTTAAAGAGTTTTAGTGTATAGATTTCAAGTGTAGCTGAAGGGTCTATTTTGCTTATACTTGTTCCATCCAAAGATTCCCCCATCCTGTCTTCATACTGATGTGGAGATAGACAAAACCCACAATGCTGTGGGCCCTGACTGTGCATCGTAATCAGGGATTAATGGAAGGCTGTGATATTTTTACTTGTGTTGAATGGGTTACCTTTTGCTCTCAGCAGTTCTGGAACTGAAACCAGATGTTCCCTGTGCTCCTTTAGTGGCTCTGCTAGAGTCCCCTAGGCACTCCTGCCTTCTGCTGGCTAAGCTGATATTAGCAGCCTCTTCAGTTTCAATATACCAACTAACCGTATCTGGATATGGGTGTCTAAAGGATTTTACCCCAGCAATATTTGCTTGGAACGTGCTAATGCACAGCAAATCTTCTTTACTTGTGGTGCCATTCCACTTTCTCAAACGAGGGTTCTGCTCAGGGTAATTGTCACAGCAAAGCTCCAGCCTGATACGAGCAGGTTCATCTCTATAGACTTCATTTTCCACTCATGAGCTAACAAGTAAGTGAAAATAGAATCTTCTATAACTTTATATTTTACAAAATATTTTACATTATAATTATGATATCTTGTCCGGTGAGTTTTATCAAACTTTCTTTCATTAAGTAACTTTTCTCCCTTTTTATTACTAATTCTTCCTGGCCAAAAAAATGGCTAACCTTCTTAGCTAAATACACCACAGCACTTGGAAGTTTTTATGGTTGGAGGTATGAAAAGGGAGGTACATGAAATTTGGCTCTTATATCCTTGTTTAAGAGCCCAAGTGAAAAATCTGAGGTGAAAACACTTTTTTTTTTTTAATGGCATTTTCCAGAAATTAAACTATCTACCATGAGCTACTCAAATTGACCAAAATAACAATTATTTTTCATGTTGTTTATTGTGTTGCTAGCATCTTGTTTAGAATACATGTAGGAGCAAATTAGTCAGTGACTGATATATCTGGTAAATGCTATCTGTCTAATAGGGTTAATATAGAAAAAAATTGTAATTTATAATTTTTGGCTTTGCAGAAAAGAAAGTTTCCTTCAGCTATTCCGTCAGATGAATCGATGTGCAGCAGCACCGTCTGGAGGAATCACTTTGTGCTTGTGAATTGCAAACAGCTGGAACCATCCTACACAATCATCTGCCTATTTGACACCTGAAGTTAATCCTTTGGATAATTCATCCATGACTCCCATGAACAATGCAGGGAAATAAGAAACATACAGAAGGACATAGTGACTCCTCAAGTATTGGGAGTCTCCTGGATGACACAGACAGAGAGGTGAGCAGTCTCACAGATCGGGCTTTCAAAAGTTTGTGTGTGGCAGAACTTGAAGACTCTTACAATGAACCAGATCTTGCCATTTCACCTGACTTCGCCCTCCAATTCTCTGCTAAATTTCACCCAGGGACGTTAAACCATACCATCAAGAAAAGCAACATCTGTAACAAACTAACAGCAAGAAACAATGAACATACAAAATGGGCTTCAACATTCCAGCAGTTACCAAAGTGTACTCCAGAGGAGAAAAGGATTGCTAAAAACAATACCTTTGCCACGGAAAGGAAAAAGCTGAATTTGCCGGTCCCTGGTCCAAGGAACAATAAACATGTTTCAAAAGTGTCCTCATTGATTAAGACATTTGATAAGACTGCAGACCAAGGGTCAGGAGATTCCCTGATAGCCCTTAAGCAGCCCATTAAGAATAGCTTTCAAAAATGTAAATTGAATCATGGAAACGATATGGCTTGCTGGGATGACACAGACATTTTAAGCATCCACAAGGAACTTTCTGAATTTTCTGAGGCTAGTCATGGTAGCCACAGTCTCAGCAGCAAACATGAGCCACAGAAAAGACCTAATAAAATAGACCTGAGTTACTGTGGCTCTGATGGTTATTATCCTGTGCTGATTGAGATGTCAAAAGTAGCCAAGTCAAATTTTTCCCGTTCGTCTAAAAAGGCTTTAAAAACCAAAAGTGTGAAAGTTAATGAGCCAGCAAAAAAAGGTAATTTTCTTCACAGTGAGAATAGTGCTTTTGAGTCATGGAATGTTCATCATAAAAAACTGACTGAAAAGGAGGAATTTGTTGGTATAAAAACAAAAAAGGAAGGTCTTGCATACTTGGAAGAAGCACCATGTATTAAAGGATCCCGCACACATGAACAGAAATTACCACCTGACAAGATCACCATTGCTAAGAAGCAGGAAAAAGATTTTCAGATGGAGCCAGCTCCACCAGAAGCTGCTTTCAGCATCCCTCTTCCAGCTGTATATGTACCTCAGGGCCCCCTCCCTTCAGAAACCAAATTTCATGCTGCTCTTCCTCCCGCACCCCCCCCTAGGATCCATGTGCACCAGGGTCCTCCTCGGCCACCCCCTGTCCCGCAGACACTTCCTCTTCCACCCCCCACCCAGCAGGGCCGTCCCCCAACACCCCCTACCCCTGAAGCCCCTCCTGTGCCACCACCCCCAGTGCCAGCTCAGCTTTCCCCTCCTGCCATGTCCCAAGCCTCCGTCTCACCCCAGTCTGTGTCCTACAGGATGGTTTCACCCTCACTCATGTCCCAAGCACCCAGCCCACCTCCACAGAGACCCCTAGCCACCTTAACCAGAGAGGAGGCCCTTAGTCCCCAACTGGGCAATAGTTGTCCACCATGGAGAAGACAGAGGGCTACAAAAGGGGCAGCAGAGAAGAGACAGACCTCAAAGGAGAATTTCACAGCCAGTGATGACATGGTTTCGTTGTCTGAAAAGGCAACTGGTGCTGAACCTGGTCTGGATGTGACTCCTCTGGCTAAACAGGTAAACTCCCCTGGATCCATCAGTCCCTCTTTCAACATCACCGAACTCTTAACACCCATCATACCACCAAAACAGGAGGTGGACCCCCTGGAAAGCGAGCTGATCCCACTGACACCTCCTCCCACTGAGAGCACGGCAGCGAGAGACCATGAGGGGAGCACATTTGATGATTACAGGTCTCGGGATAGTTACAAATCGAAAGCATCGAGTCTGTTATTCAACTTGAAGGATGTGCGTAAACGTGTTAAAAGCATTTATACTCCTTCTCCCCTGTTAAGGGCCTTGGAAGAGAAAAATAAAAATAGGGAAAATATACAGGAAAGTACAAAAATGAATGCCTCACTGTCAACTTCACAAGAAAAAAATAACAAAAATATTGCAGAGAAAGATGAATTGGGTGATATAGCCTCTGTATTGTCTGGCAGTGCTCACGAAAAGGACAATAAAGCTGATTTAACTAGACACTTTACAGACAATTACCTGACTTTGAGTTCACCCCAGACAACAGCGGACCTTTTATTTTACCAAACTGGAGACAACTTGCAGCAAGACGACTCAAAACATGAAGGTCTGGTTAAAAACACAAGGGGTAATGAAAACTTCCCCTTGTTCAGGTATGAATCAAATGAACCTGATCTAAGGAAACATCTGCAGTATCCAGCACTGAAGCCATTCAGTAGAAACACTGCAGATACAACAGCTGGGCAGCCTGTGCAAAATCCCAGTGTCCAGGGTGAGGAAAATGAGAGACAGGCTGCTAATTGGAATGAAGAATTTGCCTTCAAAACACTCCCAAATCAACTCTCACCAGCAGAGGATGTGCCTTACAGTGACATCCAAACCAGTATGGTGGTAACTGGCCATGAAGCACAAGGCAAAAGAAGCAGTAGTTCTTCGGAGCAATCTTTTGTCTCCACAGTAGAGCAGCCACTTCACGAGGAGCCATTTCCACTGGTGCCCCTGATGCAGAAGGCATGCCTTCAAGAAAGCCACAAGACTAAGAGTGAAATGGGTGCAGACAGTAAAAAAAGCCACAAGGAGAGAGGGAAAGATATTGGTGGAGATGAACTGCAATATTATGCTTCTATCAGCTCTGGTACTGGTGCAGCAGAGAAGAAGGAGGGTAGGGTTACTGGGAATGAACAGAGTAGCTTGATGAAAGAGAAGCTAAGGAGAGAGAAAAGGGAAGAGGCCAACAGCGTGGATTCTGCTTCCAACGGTGTAAGGGACACGTCCATCCCCAGGTCCGAGGAGCCACAAACACCCCCATCTTCGAGCTCAACAAAACCCAGTCTGTTTATGATTAAAGATAACACATTCAGGTCACCTCAGGTAATAAGGGCTGTCAAGCTGCCCCTGTTCAGGTCCTTTTCCCTGGATGATACAGTGAGCAGCAGTTATAAGGAAATGGAAAGTAGGTTTGTGCCCCCAGCAGAGCACAACAAGCAGCACCGGAACATGTTGCATGCCCAGGAGGCAGGCTGGTCGGCATCGAGGAGCAGAGGGCTGCAGAACGTGAGGGATGGAGCAACCGACAGAGGAAAAATGGATCTACTTCAGTAACACTAGGTCCCAGTCTTCTGGAAGACACAGAGAGCTTTTCATTAGGGAAGCTGATGGAAGAAGATGAAGAGACTTATGCTTTGTTAAATAAAGTTGGGAAAATGAATGAGGAAAGTGTCTGCAGAAGGAAAGAGAAGTCTCAGACTAGAAAGGCAAGACACAGCTTAGCACAGCCATATTTAGGTCTGGAAAATGACCAAGCACGAAATAAACCCAGCTATCCCACAGAAAGAAAGACAAATTACTTTAAGAATCATAATTTATCTAATCGCAGAGGTGGCTCTTGTGCAAAAAAAATAATCACTAGGGAGACCATTTCCCCTGTGACTGGCTCCATATCAGAGGACCACATGTATTCTCCTGTATCCCATGAAGCTTTAGAGGACATCCTACATATGGAAGATGCACCGGTTTTGTTAGACAGTCTTGCATGCTGTGCTGTTGCAAGCCCCAGGTCAGGCAGCACAATGCACTCCATTGCTGCCAGTTCATCATCAGACAAGCTAACAAGAGAGAAAGAGAGTGTTATAAACCCTGCCTTGCTAAACATGGCACTAAAGAGCCAAGCTGATATGTCTGCAGAAGAGATACTTAATTCAGCACAGAGGAATCTCCCTTCTGATTCTGCAGGGGAAGCTGAGAGACTGGAGCCCAGGGGACTTGGGGAGAGAGCAGCAGGTAAGCCTCCTGCTGTGCCACCAAAAACAGAAAAGGCTCTGCGGCGGGCCAAAAAGCTGGCCAGCAAGAGAAAGAAAATGCAAGAGCAGCAGAAAAAACATCAGACTGAGCAGACAGATGCTGTAGGGAGAAAATCTTCTCATTCTGGAAGACCCAGTGGTGCATCAGCAGTAAGCCCTTCACCCTCTTCGACCCAGCGTAAAATCCTCCAAGACCCTGACTCTGGCCAATACTATGTAGTTGATTTACCAGCTGAAGTTAATTTAAAGACATTTTATGACCCAGAAACTGGCAAATATGTTCAAGTTTCTGTCCCTTCCTCGGAAGAGAACTTACACGAGCCCCCCTCTTCAGAAATTATGAATTCTCCCTATGCCTCCTACCCTAGAGTGCTGCCTTTACCAGCTTCATCTGTAGCAGTGCTGAAGTCACCTTCTCAGCTCTCCGAACCTACCTGGTTAATGCCAGCTGTACCAGGAGAAACAGCTGAACTACCTGAAGACGGCCAGCAGGACTACAGATATGCTGAATCTGTGGATACTCAGCCCTATATTGAACCAGCCTCTTACCCCTACAGTCAAGATGCTGAAGAAACTCAAGGTCACTTAAGAAAGGACACGAGCCCAACACCAAATACTGACATAGTGTCCCTCACCGATTTAGATGATTTTGCTGCTGAAGGAGTATCTTGAAAACTGAAGTAACAAAATATGCCAGGTACTGTTTTTAAGAACCATTTGGACAGACACATGCACACAAAAGCACATGCAGGTTTGATGTTTGTACAACACTATGTCTGAATCTCATTGTGGCTTGGGTGGAAGGAAAATGAAAGCTGACCATGTTGAAAGATGCAAGGTGATGATCGCTCTGAAGAAGTGTGAAGTTGAGTAAGCACCAAATTATCAGTGAGATGAAGGGGCAATGCCAGCTAAACAAATAAATACGACAGTATGAAGCCACTGCTTGCTGCTGCTGCTGCTTTGCCATTATGATGGCTGGGATTGCCAAAGCAAGTGTCCTTTTGCCCAGATGTGTTGCATGATATATGACACAAAGTAAAATGTATGAGACCATCCTGTCCATCCTGTGAGACCTAGGACAGATGCTGCATCTACTGAACTTTCCTCACTCACTGCCTTTGAACTATATTGACAGGTAGAAAGCATGTGGCTACAAATATGCCATAAACCCAAGATTCATTTTTTTGCACACATTGATTGCCCAGATGTTATTGACAAGAAGATTGCTTACTGGATGCACAATACAACAGCCATGTCAAAAACCCTTTAAACAACTAGAATACAGTTGCAGCTGCTCTAGACTTCTTGTATACTTTTGCAGTGTCCACTAACATGCTGCTGAATTCATTTCTTGATAATCTCCAAATAAGTTCCCTTAGAGTCAGGGGTTATTTATAATGCAGCTTAAACCTTCAACTTCTCTTGATACTTGGCCTGAAATATTTTTGTAAGGAGCAAGGTTGAATGAAATCCCATAATAGTATTTAATTTTTTTGTTGTTGTTGATAGGATGAGAAGACCTTTGCTTATTATTATTGAAGTGCTTTTGTTTTGTTTTGTTTTCAGGATCCCACTGAACTATGCACTAACTTTTAAAACCTGAAAAACATTGTACCTAGTTTTGGTCTTGTGAATTTATGAATTCTGTGGTTCTAAAAAAAAAAAAAAAAGAGAGAGAGAGAGAAAAAACATCCAAAGTATTAATTTCTAGAAAAGTGCTTCTTTGGATTATCACTTTTCTTTGAAAGATCTGTATCAAAATATCACTCATTCTTGCATAAGCTCTTTTTTATCATCATAGATAATGAGAGAACCTTGGTGAAAAGATGGAAAAATTGAATGTAATATGCCTGCTTATAAATATCTGTATTTGGAGTATTGGTTTCCTTTTCCTCTGTGTCATTTTCATACTGTTTACCCCAATTAAAACTGAAGTGCAGGAGCTCTAAGAAAGAATGATACCAGTGACTTTCAGCCTGATTCACATCTCAGGCTATTTTTACCGGATTGTTTTCAGTGAAGTGACTTTTGACTTCCTGAAAAAGAAAAGGAAGAATCGAGCCTTTTGCTAATAAATACAATGTTGGGATGGGACACAGGCACTGCCCCACTCTCACAGTTAAATATTTATGATAGAGATTTTCTTCAGTAAATTCTTAATTTCCCAGGACTGAGGCTGCTCTCAGGACACAGACCAACACTTTGGTGGTTTGGCTCCTTCCCTAAGCTGAACTCAGCTCCCAGCCTTCCTCCATCCCTGACAGAGCCGTGCGTTCAGAACCTGTCCTGATCCCATCACACACTTCCTTCTGTCAGCGCTGTTTGCTAAAACATTTCCCACAGAGGGGCTAGGCAGACACTAAGGGCATCTCTTTGTTAATCTCATTGGGGTTTGGATTTCGCCTTTAATGATTTTCTAAAATCTGTTTTGCCTGTTATGCAGAGTTGTGTCAAATTTGCCATTTAGTGATTTGGCAGGGACAGTTGCAGCATAGGTATGGGGTGGAAATGAGAAGCTTGTACTGGTTCAGTTTGGGCTTTGAACACATTCAGCCAAATGCCCATATTTGAATAAGCATTTATTGTTCAGTCTCCACCATTGAAAGCTTTCAACACCTGACTGGATACAGCCCTGAACAACCTGGGCTGGCCTCAGAGCTGACCCTCCTTGAGAAGGAGGTTCATCCAGAGATGTCCTGAAATCTCTTGCAACCTGAACTATCCTATGATCCTGTTCTGCAAACATTAAAATTTTTAAACCATCTTTGGCTTGGAACTCAGAAAATGCAGTCTCTCCTGGGAAAGGGCTCATTTTTAAAGAAATAAAAAAGAATTTGACAAGGATCAATTTTCAAATTGTTAAATTAAGGGAAATGGCTCCTATTATGAATATTTTTGCTTTTTTTTGGTCACAAATATTTTGCTAAACTGGCGTGGTGCCATTGATGTGGCACTTCTCTGTTGCTGTCCTTGTATATGGACTAATGACTATCCAGTACAGAGCAGAATGTTATCTACATGTTAAAATATAGATAAATAGATCTAGCAAAGTTTTCCACGGTACACTTAGACAGAACCTATGTAATCTGAAAGTCTACCAGAGTGCACAAGCCTTTTTTTTTTTTTTTTTTTTCCCTGTTTGATATTAAATTTAAATGCCCTTAACAGCCACAAGTCAAGAAGTAGGCAGACTCTCAGAGGACAGGATAAAAGCATGCTTTCCAAAGGGAGACTGTGGATACAGAGTATGTGTGCATAGATATAAAAGAAATGGTAATTTGATAGGTAAAATATACAACCGCATTAAAAAAAAAAAATCCCTTTTGCTTGGTTAACTGTCATTTGTTTTGTAGATATGCACACTTCTGCACCCTTTTTTTTCGAGGGCCGCCTTAAACTCTTATTGTGGAGAATGAGATCCTCCAATATACTACTTTTAGATATGCGAGGAAAACAGTATATTTTTAACTCTACTGTGAAGGCAAACTGAAACATGGGTATCTGAAAAGGAGCCAGTCCTAACTTGGATACCTAATACACTTCAAGTAGGATTTCTTTATTTTGGCCAATACTTTCTGCTAGCTGAAGGGAGCTGCATTCACAGCAAACTGTGTCTCTAAACATGCACTTGTCCCAAAGGGAGTTTTGACCTAGAGAATTTGTAGCTAGATGAAACAAACAGAACTGGGGAGTTTTGAAAACAAATATGAAAATGTTTGTCATTATATATCCAGAGCTAAAAAAAAAACAGCACTTTTCCACAAGGAGTGAAAGATATTATAAAAGTGTTGCTCCATGTCCCAGCCTGGTATTGACTCCATTTGAGTATGAACCCATCAGCAAACCTGTCTCTGGCCTAGACCGTTCTGTTGGCCAACGTCTTGCTAGGCCATGGGAGTGTGTGTATGTACAAACATACACATGAATGCACATAAACAATATAATATATATAA